GAAACGGATTCGTTCTTGGTGGAGAAAATCTGTTTCAGTTTAAAACAAGGTAATAATTATTCCGATTCCTTGCGAAATCATCTGATTCGGTTAAACCCTTTAGCCGTCGTTGAGGTTTTGTATCGTTGCCGGAATGATTTAAGCCTAGGTCAAAGGTTTTTGGATCAATTAGGTTCGATTTCACCGAATTTGAAGCATACTTCTTTGTCATTAAGCGCAATGATTCATATTCTAGTGAGGAGTGGAAGATTATCTGATGCACAGGGTTGTCTTCTTAGGATGATTAGAAGGAGTGGTGTTACCAGAGCAGAGGTTGTGGAATCTTTGGTTTCGACGTATAGTAACTGTGGTTCGAATGATTCGGTTTTCGATTTGTTGATTAGGACTTATGTGCAGGCTAGAAAACTCAGAGAAGCTTATGAAGCTTTTACATTGCTGAGAAGCAGAGGTTATATGGTTTCTATCGATGCGTGTAATGCTCTCATCGGGAGCTTGGTGAGGATCGGGTGGGTAGAATTGGCTTGGGGTGTTTATCAGGAGAATTCTCGGTGTGGCGTTGGTGTTAATGTTTATACTCTCAATATCATGGTTAATGCATTGTGCAAAGATGGTAAAATGGAAAAAGTCGGAACTTTTTTGTCCGAAGTGGAAGAGAACGGAGTTTACCCGGATATTGTAACGTATAACACGTTGATTAGCGCTTACTCTAGTAAAGGTCTTATGGAAGAGGCGTTTGAGTTGATGAATGCTATGCCGAGTAAAGGGTTTAGTCCAGGTGTTTATACTTATAACTCTGTGATAAATGGATTGTGTAAGAACGGGAAATACGAGAGAGCCAAGGAAGTTTTCGCTGAGATGTTGAATTCCGGGTTGAGTCCTGACTCTGCTACCTACAGATCATTGCTGATGGAGGCTTGTAAGAAGGGAGATGCGGTTGAAACAGAAAAGATTTTCAGTGATATGAGATCTAGGGATATTGTTCCGGATTTAGTTTGCTTTAGCTCAATAATGAGTCTTTTTGCTCGGAGTGGAAATCTCGACAAGGCATTAGTGTATTTCAACAGCGTGAAGGATGCGGGACTGATTCCCGACAAAGTCATCTACACAATTCTTATCCAAGGGTATTGTAGAAAAGGTATGATCTCTGAAGCCATGAATTTGAGAAATGAAATGCTTCACCAGGGTTGTGCTATGGATGTTGTTACCTACAATACCATTTTGCACGGCTTATGCAAACGGAAAATGTTAGGCGAAGCGGATAAATTGTTCAGAGAAATGACCGAAAGGGGTTTATTTCCAGACTCGTACACTTTAACCATACTTATCGATGGACATTGTAAGCTCGGAAACCTGGGAAACGCAATGGAGCTTTTTAAGAAGATGAAAGAAAAGAGAATCAAACTCGATGTTGTGACATACAACACGCTGTTAGACGGGTTTGGTAAAGTAGGCGATATCGATACCGCAAGAGAGATATGGTCAGATATGGTATCGAAAGAGATACTTCCCACTTCAATATCTTACAGCAYTATGGTTAACGCGCTCTGCAGTAAAGGCCATCTTTCCGAAGCATTTCGAGTTTGGGATGAAATGGTCGGTAAAAGTATAAAACCGACGGTTATGATTTGTAATTCTATAATAAAGGGCTATTGCCGCACTGGTAATGCCTCGGATGCAGAAAGCTTTTTGGATAAGATGATCTCGGAAGGTTTTGTGCCGGATAGCATCAGTTACAACACATTGATACATGGTTTTGTTAAAGAAGAAAACATGAGCAAAGCTTTTGGTTTAGTGAAAAAGATGGAGGAGAAGCAAGGAGGAGTAGTAGCTGATGTCTTTACGTACAATTCGATCTTACATGGGTTTTGTAGACAAAATCAGATGAAAGAAGCTGAGGTTGTACTAAGGAAGATGATTGAGAGAGGTGTAAATCCTGCTAAGTCGACGTATTCCTCTCTGATCAATGGATTTGTTTCTCAAGATAACTTAACCGAGGCGTTTCGGTTTCACGATGAAATGTTGCAGAGAGGATTCTCTCCTGATGATCAATTCTGAATCAGTTTTTAAAAACAAAACCATGTGTTTTGCTGCTGCAAATGCAGAAGCTCAAGGAACTTGATTTTCTTGAATAGCAAATTGGTCCCATACTTTATAATGTTTTTTATTAGACCCAAATTTCTTGTAATCAAGCATTAAGTCCTTCCTCGTTTCATTTTTTTTATTTTTCTTTCGAATTCTCAAATTTTGGTGTATTTATTAGTCGAACCATGTATCAATTAGAGAAAATATAGAAAACAGAATTATACTATTGTTATTGTTATACTTTTTCAATAACGAATTATGAATGTCAATTATTAAAAAATTAGATTAAGTTATGGAAACGTATGATTTGTATACAACCCTAACTATTTGATTATTATAAGTTACACGTAATCACTAGCGTATAGTGATTTATTTGTTCTACTTTCTTCTTAGAAAATGAATGTGTGATGAGTAATGTGACGGATTAACTCATTGTTGAATAAATTTAATTGATTGGTGAATTTATATAAACTGCTTTTTTGTATGATTAAACATTAAGAAATACGGAAAATTGACTACATGATAAACACTCACTATTTTATAGTGAGTGTGAATAATGGAATTGGTCATGTCTCTACATAAATTAGTCCAGTGGGTATTGGTTAAAAGAACTTAAATCTAGATTAAGAAAGTTGACAAAAATGTTACATTAATTATGATGTATTAACTAAAAATTTTATTTACTTTGGAATGATTTTGAATAGTACAGTTTCATCCTCTTTTAATATACAAAAAGCGTAGTGTTGCTAGATTTACAATGTAAATAATTAAATAGAATTACATCTAATGCTATCATTTTTATATACATAGTCTAACAGTTTACTTGAGCGAAAAATTAAATAAGATTACTCACATATTTCAAAGAGACAATTAACTAATTGTATTCATCTAACTACGCATCACTATGCATTTTTCTTCTTCTTTTATCTAGGATGGATTGGTTCATTTTGCACTTCAAATGCACAAATGCACAACATGTAAGAGAAAACGATGTGAATCTAATTGTTTATGATTTTTCATTCATTTATTTGTTTCAATATGTCTTTCTAAACCTAATTGATACAATTTTTTAGCAAAAAACTTGTTGTCTTATCCAATAAGACATATCATTGCTGGTGATTATTTTCATCGATGAAAACTAAGTGCATACTTATGGACACTCAAACTATGAGGATCTATTTCAAAGATGGTGAAGGAGGGTCGGAGATGCAAAGGAATACCTTAAGGCCGAGATCTTGATAGATCTTTTAGAAGATGACTTAATGAAGTCTTACATATGATGAGTTATCCTTGAATCTCTCTTGTCTTGTTTGA